TATTGATGGGTGAAAAGGAACCACTGACATTAGATACATTGTTTTTCCTATTATTATTAGATTGGCTAATTTTACTTGTAATTTCTTGAACTAATGTAGGTTTAGTAGTAATATTGTGATTAGCATTAACTTTAGTTGATTCATTCAACATATTTTTGGATTTCTTGTTTGATGAATTTCTCAAAGGGTATTTTCTTTTTTCTAGTTGTGACATTTTTAAGAAAAAAAAAAGTTAAAAAAAAATATATTATCATTTACGCATACATATTAAATAATAAATCTTGTTACACTAAAAAATTCAAAAAATGAAAAGGCATTCCTGTAATTCCTGCTCTAAAAATTTTTCCACACAACAAGCACTTTCAAATCACAGAAAAACACATAAATTGAAATTATATTATGATAACAATGTTAGTTTGATTGATTTGAATGAATCAATGGCAAAAAAAATATATAAAGATATTACAAAAGGCAGTGTTGATGAACTTTCAATCAGTAATGTAAAATTTACAATTAATGACATACCTGTTGATGATAATTTTAACAGAGAATTTGATAATAATCCAAAAAGTTCTTATGATTTTCTTGATGAATTTCCTGACATCCACATTAATGAGGATGCAGAATACAAAGAATTCATGATTTTAATAACAAAACATAACATTTCACATTCATTAGGTGATGAAATCTTGAAGTTAATTAAAAAACATTCAAAACCAAATTTGATTTTTCCAATTTCAACTAAATCTGGAAAAGAAGCTTTAGATAAAATGAAAGATCCAGTTTTAAATTTCAATAAAGCTAAATTATTAGAATATAATGGTATAGAATATTTCTTTTATTTTAGAACAATAGTGGATGCAGTATCAGAGATATTTTCGAACAAAGAAATTTTTAATGCAAGCATATTTAATTATCAAGAAGTTTACAATAATAATAAGAGATGCTATAAAGAGCTTTATAATAGCAATTGGTGGAAAGAGATTGAAAAAAACAATCCTCCTGGCTGTAAAATTTTATCAATCATCTTGTATTCAGATAAAACAAATTGTGATTCTCTGGGGAAGACATCTCAGCATCCAATTTATTCAACAAGTGGCAACATTCCTTATGAATACAGAAACAAGTATAAATCAAAAGTTTTACCTGGATATATTCCAATTCTAGATGGATCCAAAAGCATCAAAAAAACAACAGAATTCAGAAAGTTAGTTCTTTTGATGTTCCACAATGCTATGTCAATACTTATCAAACCTTTGATTGAGCAAGAAAAAGATGGTATTTATCTTTTTTTACATGGGGAGTTAATATGGTTTAAAATAAAAATTTCATTAATAATTAGTGATTGGCCAGAAGCTTGTACATTTTGTTTAACATATAAAACAAGTAATTCAAGTAGACCATGCTACACTTGTTTAACTTCAAGGGATCAGCTTAATAATATGAATTTGTCAAATGAATCTTTAATTTTAAGGACTCCAAACCAAATGATAGATATAATCGAAGATGATCAATGCAAAGATTATTCTGTCCATCCATTAAAAAATTCATTTTGGAAATTACCTTACTTAAATATTTATGTTGCAACTATTCCTGAACACATGCATCATTGTAATTTAGGACTATTTCCTTATCATCTCAAATATACTTGCAATCTTCTTAATGATATTTCACCAGGTTTATTGAAGGAGTTGGATTCACAGTTTGGTAGAATACCACGTTTTACTGGATTAAAAATTTTTAAAAATGGACTTGAAAATATATCAAGGTTTACAGCTGCTGAATATAGGGATATAATGAAGATCATGCCTTTTATAATAGATAACATACTGGAAAATAACTGTACCTTAAACAAGAAGTTAACAGATGTTTATGTAAAACAGGTTAGGATGTATCAAAAACTAATTTATGCATCCCAAAGCTACACCATTGGAGATATCATACAATACCTTCAATTAAACTTTTTGGTGCCATTAATGGATTTTCAGCTGAAACCTTTGAATCTCTGCATAAAGAATATATCAAGCAACCATATCATTCTACAAATAAAAACTTTATTGATGAGCAAATGCTTAATATTACAACAAGAAGAAGTAAAATACACAAACTGTTTGGTGTATCTTTATATAAACAAAGGTTATAAATGCAAAATTTAGTAGCTGAATTTCGATCATTAATATTTGAATTTCACTATGATCAATTAACAGAAATTATATCAGGTTTATCACAAATTTCAAACAGATGTGAATCTTTAACAAAAGGTTTATCTGAATTAGAAATATGTCTTGATAATTATTTATTTCATTATTATCCCAATATCACTCAACAAAATGACATTATTCAGAATTCATGTTTTTTAATCTATATACAACAAAGCAAAATTAGCAAATGGAGAGATTATACATGCTACAAATTCGTATTATAATTCATCATATTTCAGCAATGTTACAGTGGACTTGGAAGAGTGTGAAATTGACAATTATGTTACAGATGATGGAAATTGTTATGCACAGATATTGTTATTATCACAAACCAAGTTTAAATTATATGATCAAATTAGTGTTCCATGTCGCAATCCAAAAAAAGAAACAAAATGGTTGTAAAGGTGGTTGCAATTGTTTTTATATGACACAAAGATGGTAGCAACCATCATCAAAAGTTGCAGCCGGTATCCTTAGATCAAATTGAAGTAGTTGATTTAGCATTGATCCAATGGTATGATTTTAAATTCATCAATAATAGCAAAAGACATTATTTAAAAGAAGAATGTCATATTATTCCTAGATTCAATAAAAAAAACAAGTATTTAGTAAACAAGTTCTTATTTTAAAACTTGCATAAGAAAAATTATATAATGTAACTTTATAGCTTAATGTAATTGATGAAAATATTTTGCATAATTCTATGGACATAATAAATTTACTATGGTATCTATTATATTTATTTGTATATTAAATGATAATATTTTGCGTGTAATTTACACATCAAAAAAACTGCATAAATTTTTGCCATATTATTATAGAAATGCGATTATTTCATAAGCATAAAATACATAGGAATAAAGTTTATGTAAGTTTACAGATATTATAGTGATTTATGCATCTGTAAATTTATGGATTCATCTAATTTATATAATCTTTTGACATAACTATTGATGTTTTTGTAATTTTATGCCTAAATTTTGTGTAAAAAAGCATAAACATGTAATTGTTGCATAAGATGAGAGTCTAAAAAATTTGCTGATGTTTATTATTATTATATATAACATTAACATTTTTTTTACTCGAAGTTCCTTTTATATACTTAATATGTATTATGGCTTGAATATTCAATAAGAGCTTTCTAGGAATCAGCAAAAGTGGAAAACAGCTATTTTAACTTTCTTTGAAATAGACATTTATTATTACTATACATAACATTGATAGCATTTTTTTACTCGAAATTTCTTTTATATGTACTGTAGTATTGTTTAGATAATCTGATTAACTTTCTAGGAATCACCAAAAGCGGAAAACAGCTATTTTAACTCTCCTCGAAATAGACAAAGAAATGTATGGTAGTGGTATAAATTATAATAGTACAACATAATGTTATTTATTTAACATACTTTCTTCTTATTTATTATTCTAATTGTATAATGTGTTTCTAATAGAAAGATTTATCTTCAATTAAAAAAATCCACTTGTATTAAGGATGATAACTTGGAGTTGGTGAATAAATATGTGGCGAAGATTGTATTTTTATATTTAATTATTTATAAATTTACTGCGCACTGCTGATCTTATATTTTAGATGATTTAACTTGAACAAAAATCAAGCAAAAAAACTGTATTTTTTATATTTAACTGTTTTACATAACACTGTTTTTTCTTATATGCTATCTTATATTTTTAGATGATACATCAAGCTTCAACTAAGGAGTCAGCAGATAAATACGGGGCGAAGACTACAATCTTATTAATTGTTTTACACGTTCATACTATACATGAAGTCAAAATGGTTAAATTATGTCATATCACATGAGAGCCAACGATCTAACTTAATGAAACGTGGCTTATTAGAATAGTATTGTAAAGGTAATATAATAGTGTTTTAATGTTCATAACGATATACAGCAAACAAAAATATCTCACTAACTAGTGATTCTGGATTTATGAATTAGACACCTATTGAGAGAATTCGAATGGTAGTTGTTTTTATTCAGAACAGTCAGATATTGACTGAGTTATGGTAATTTCAGTTAATTTGATACGTTTTTCTCATGATATGCATTACTTTATTAACAGCAATAAAAAATTATAATTCATACGGAATTTCCGTATCTATAGATCAAATACATGTAATTTCAGTTAATTTGATACTAATACGTTTTTTCTCATGATACGGAAAATTGAAAATTTCCGTGTATTAATATTTTACTATTTTTTTCCAGAATAATTCCGTATCTTTTATAATCATTTTCCATACATAATATACGTAATTTCAGTTAATTTGATACGTTTTTTAAATAAAACCTCGTGTATGGAAAATTGCGAATTTCCGTATATCTTACAACTTTTTCCGGAATAATTCCGTATTTTTTATAACAATCATTTCATAGCAATAAAAATTATAATTCATACGGAATTTCCGTATGCAAATTTTTTATAGGACATGTAAGAAAGAAGCATACTCAATGTACGGAGTAAACATACTCAATGTAAGGAGTAAACATACTCAAAGTAAGAAAGGAACGTATTTAATGCAAGGAGTAAACGTACTTGATATAAGGAGTAAATGTACTTATTACAAAGGTATTTTGATATAATGTATAAAAATTATTTTTTTAATTCAAATAAAATTTCTTTTTGGTCTGGTATTTTTATTTTCTTTCTTTGCTGGTGATTTTTTGGATTTTTTGCTTGGTGGTGATTTATCTTTAAGCCTTCTTTTATTGGATCCTAAATAATGTAAGTAATTTAATTAATTAATATTATTATAATTGAAAAACTATAATCATGATGAAATTGAATAACATACTATCAAAAAAATTAATATCATTTACAAGATCATTGTCTGGAAAAAAAGTTATTATTAATTATTGAGAATAGATAATTTTATGATGCACCATTCGTTAAATTTTATTACCACCAGAAACAACAGAATCACCACTGTTAGGAGCAGAATTATCACCATTAAGAGCGGAGTTACCACCAGGAGCAAAGTTACCACCAGAAACTATTGTTATTTAATAAAATAAATAAGATTAAAGCAATTTAAAAAAAATTACAATTTACAATTTTAATTTTTACCATCATCATTATCAATTTTATTGGCTCTTTTCTTTTCTTTTCTTTTATTATAATCGCCTAATTTTGTTTAAAAATAAATATTAATAATTAAGATTAAAATTAAATAAATTAATAAGATTAAAATCTTACGTCTATTTTGAATATTTTTTTTAATAAGTTCCAAAATTATCCAATTTGAATGACCAGTTTCTAAATTTGTATTTCTTTTCTTGAACTTAATATATATTTATTTATTATAAATCAGTGTAATCAAGTGATCAATGCAGAAATTAAAAATAATAATACCATTTCCACTATTTTTGAAATCAAAGTAATATCTTGTTGTCTATAGGATATTGATAAGTCTATTTTATAGTATTGGGAACAAAATCTAACCTCCTCCTAATAAATTAATTAATATATAAATAAGTATAATTAAATTCATAATTAATATAAGTATAAAAAAATTACCAAATAAAAATTATATGTTTTTTCATCAACTTTCAATAATTTACGAATTTCACTGGCTTTAATATAACCTTCTTGGTTTGTCTTTCTCTTGGGCCTATGAATACTATTATTATTACTATTGTTATTGTTGTTGTTGTTGTTGTTGTTGTTGTTGTTGTTGTTGTTATTGTTGTTGTTGTTGTTGCTGCTGTTGCTGTTGTTGTTGTTACTTCTAATTCTATTATTACTTCTGTGATTACTATATCTGCTGCTACTTCTATCATTATCATTATCATTATTATTGTTGTTGTTGTTGTTGTTACTTCTAGTTCTATTATTACTTCTGCAATTACTATTTCTACTGCTACTACTGCTATCATTATCATTATCATTATTATTATCATTATTTCTATATCTACTACTAATATCATTATCATTATTGGTACAATTATCATTGACATTTTCACTAATACTATGATTGTTTTTTCCATTTTTATTTATTATCTTAAAAAAAATATATTATGAATTATTTATATTATTTATAAGTAGATATTTTTACAAATAAACTAAATACATACATTTTGTTGTAGATGTTTTTTTTCTTCTTCCAAAAGAGCTAAAAGCTCATTAATTTCGTTAATAGTTTTAACAGACATTCTAAAGAAAATTTTATTGAAAATGATTAAACGCGTGAATAAAAAAAAATTTTTTCGCACCACGAGACTACTAGAAAAGGAGATCTGATCATAAACTAATCATAAAATGAAAAGATTTTCCATATTTCAACACCAAAAAGGAAACGCGACAACCAATATATCATCTTTCTACAAATTATTTTCTAATAATTCTGAAGGAATAGGAAAAAAATCGTTTTTTTATTGTAAGTTTTTTTATCAAGTTTTTTTTATCAGAAGTTTTATTTATTATATATAAGTTAAGTTTATTTATCACAAATTTTTTAAAATTTTTAGGCAAGTGATATATGATACAAGCCCATTATTATTATACAAAAATTTAATTAAATATTTAAATCATTATTATTATAGTAATGGAAAGTCATCATATGAACTTTACTATTTAAATTGAATTTATAAAATCACCAGACTTTTTCAATAAGCAAATAACGTTTTTACCAACAGTTTTTTTCTTTTGGAAAAAAGATATAAATGCAAGATTATTTCCTTGAATCAAAACAAATGATAAAAAAATTTGCGATAAAAAAACATGATTTTTTTTTAGAATTAATTTCTTTTATATATATTAATATTAATAAAAAATGGCAGGTCACCAAAAATATATTTTTCGATTAAATAAAAAAACGGCAGGTCAACAAAAATATATTTTTCGATTAAATAAAAAACGGCAGGTCTCCAAAAATATATTTTTCAATGAAATAAAAAAACGGCAGGTGACAAATTTCGGAAGTGATAAATATTGATCGACAGGAAAAAAAGGCAAACTATATATAGTGCCGATCATCTAAAGACATCACAAAATGTTGCCAATATTTAAATGCTGATACTTCACTAAATATGGGCTATTTTACCAAAAACTCTCTATTTTTGCAATCTTCTGGACATGAAA